TACTTTGTTTAATATATTTTATTAAAACTATACTTTTCATGTATTTCAAATCTGACTGGAGTTAGTAATGCCAGTAAGATGTATTTTAATAGCAACCCTCACTGGTCAAGAAACTTAAAGTTCTTTAAAATAAAAATATTGTGTGAATTTATCTCAGACCGTTTAAAAGATTAGAAAAGATAAAAAGACATCGAAGCAAAAATAAAAAATTCATCTGCAGTTTATGTCTGGATCAGATGCCTGAAAAGAAGTATGGAGACGGAAACACAGGATGCTATAGAAATATGTTAGAAATCCTTTTTTATTCTAGTTAGTCTGCTTAATACAAATGTTTGAAATATTGCACATTTGTTTTAATTACAGGACCATCAATCAAATAGATTACTAGGTTTTAGTGGCAGACTTGTTTTATATTTTTTATTTTTGGGACAGTTATTCTTCTGAATATCCCAGAATAAAAAAGCGTAGGTTATCAGCGTTCGTCAAGCATGAGGAGCAATTAACATGTCATCTATCAATGTTCTTCAGCCCAATTTAATTAACTTATCATTCTCCATTTTCACTATTCGTCTCCCTGGTGTTTTCCAACGTATTTGTTCTTTAGTCAGGCCCTAGCAGGAGCCGCTGACCTCTCATCCCAGTCACTGCCGTATCAGGGTCTGAATTTTCCTTTGTCTGCCTTTGATTTCTCGTTTTTTTGTACTTTTCCTGTGTCTGACCTGTGGAAGTGCAGCCGGAACAGATGTTGGGCAGCTTCTGCAGAGACGGTGTATCATTGTTATCAGCCAACATCTGGTTTTGGTGTCAGACCCTTAAAATCAAAGAACCTCCATCAGCTTCCTCTGAAGTTGAGCCAAAAGCTTCCCACCTCTCCTCTTAGCCACTTGAAAAGCTCTCTGGGAAATGTAGGAAATAACTGGAATAGACGCAAACAATGCAGGGCAACCTTTCCCAGGACACTAAAAAGAGCCAGTTTCTGGGAGTTGAGGTTGACCTTCGTTGCCTTCTGATGTGCGTTTCTGTTCAGGCTCAGCTCCAGCGCTCGCTGGACAGCGCCGTCACCCTTCAGCCCAGGGCCCTGATTGGTCGGCGCAGCAGAAAGGAGGCGGCGGCGGCGGCGGGAACAGAGAGCGGCGGACACGGCGGCAGCCCCATGTCTGAACAGGACTCTGGTATTCTGGACGTGGAGGATGAGGAGGAGGAAGAGGTGAGCATGTTGGCGCCACAAACGCATCCAAGTGTTGAAGTTACATCTGAGCCTCTGATCTGGTTAATGGTTGAAATAAAACTGCATCATAAATGAGCTATTACATCAGCTTTACATGAACATGGAGTCCTTCACACATCTCAACATTATTTTCTCCTGCTCCCTTTAGCTCGTTTCTCAACCTTCACACTCGCATATTTTCCACCGCTGTAGCCTGGCTCCCATCCTCCATTAAAACCAGAGCTACTCCCTCTGTTCATCCTCCTTTCTTCTTCAAACCCATCTATTTATTTATGTATGTGTTTATTTTGTTTATTTATGGCGTAAAATCCAGACACTGATCTGCTGACAAAAAGACATCATTCAGATGTGTGTTAAAGGCTTTTCTTTAGATGAAAACAGGATAGACAAATTATATTATTCATAGAAAAATATAGTTTAAAAAATGTAATGTAGTTGGATTAAAACAGAATGCAAAAACTAACACTAGACTGAGACTAAAAAAACCACAGATGAAAAAAAAAAATGGGAAAAATTGACATTATATAAACAGAAAAACTGAAAAGAAGGTATTACCCAGACATGTTCATATTAGTTTACTTTGTTCCTTTTTATTTGTATGTGTGTTCTATGATCAAAAATAATAAAATATAAGTGACAAAAAAAACAGAATGCTTATATTTTTTGTAATAACAAAAGAAAATAGAAAAATAATAAAATTAAAGGTTCATTTTAAAATGTTTAAAAATTTAGGAAGATAAAATGTTTTAAAAAATAAAAATATTTCTATTAAAACATATAATTAAAGTGTAACAATTATTTTATCTGTTTTAGAATTATTAAAGTGTTATGTAAAAAGAAACTTTTGACCATATTTTAGAAACATTTTATAAACCTATCATTTTTGTAACAGTTTAAACAGTTTTTTCTTATTTTGCTATGATATATTTGTTTTTGGTTAGATATTTATTTGAGCAGACTAACTAATCAAATAAATGAATAAATAAATAAACATTTAGGGTTCTAAAAGAATGTAAATTTTTAAGACTACACTTAATAAGCTGTTTAATTTAAGTTTTTATTTCATATTTTTGGTGCAATCGTAGCACTGCCTGACGTCATCTTTAATGGGAGTCCATCTCCACCTAATGAGCGGTTTAGGGAACCTTTCTAAACACAACTTGACTTAGTTTTTTCCTAATGTTTACTTGAGTTACAATAAAAAACAAAAAATCAAGCCAATTTAAACAAACTAAAAGCACTATTTGTTTGAGGGTTTGGGCCATTTAAGCATTTAAATTTCCTTTAGTTTGAAAACCTTCCTTGTTTTCATGGTCTGAACCTTTAATTGTTGTCTTCAGACACAACACTGGCTGATTACGGTTCAAATATGTAGCAGGAATGTATTTACTATAAGCAGAGCAGAAATAACAGGCACTTAGTTCCCACCATAGGTGACAAACATGGTGTCATCATGGCGGCGTTCCGAGCCTGAACTCTTGCAGCTCTCCCTCTCAGGATCAGAGCTCCTTTGTTGTTCCCGTTTGATGAAAGCAAAATACAATGAAGCTGAGGAGAATTGAGCTGAACTTGTCACCCCCACCTGCCCTGCGTTGGCATTCGGTTTGCAGTTCCCCATGGCTTATTGACGTCCTGTAAACTTGACTCAACCTTCTCCGTGTGAAGAACCTTGTTCAGAACAAAGACCAACGCTGCAGTCTTCAGGGTTACGACCGAGTTGGCGCCAACGGCCTTCAGAATGCCAACCAGCCGCCGTCCATCCCACCCAGTCTTCCCCTTCCCTTATTTAATGACACCCCCCGAAACCCCTTTTTTTGGTGCGCTTTTTATGTTCAGCTGCTTCTATTATTTCAATCCCTCTATTTTCTATTTGTTTTTTTTTTTCTCTTTAAACCTTTAATTGCCCCACCTCACCTTTACTGACCTCTGTTCACCTCATCTGCTATGGTTTTGGTTCAATCCAGGTTTTTGGGGATTTTTCCTCCTGTTTGCATCCATTCTGTTCCATCATTGCCTGAAACGCTTGATTTACCTCATTTGGTTTATTTATTTATTTATTTATTTTTAAAGAAAGCAAAAGCTTCAGATGCTGAGGAGTAAATTTTAATTTAGCATGGTGTAGAGCTCTGTCAAATCTGTAGAAAAATGCAAAAACAAAAAATCATAAACAATTGACTAGAAATGTACCATCTGTTTCATGTTACAGCTAAACCACATTGTTTTTTTTTTTATTTTTATGTCCCTTATTTTAATTAAAACAAGGTGGAGAATATAATGACATTTGAAGAACTATCAAAAAGGGGTCGTTATCGGGAGTATAGAGACTATAAAATGTTCTTTTAGCTAACAAAGCAACACATTTAGAGCAGTTTTTTATACCAAGATTGTAAAAAAAAATTATGTAAACATTTTGCATTTTAGATAAAAAAATAAAATAAAAAAAAGATTCAGAACTCTTTAAGAGGAAAATTTTTAGTTTCAGCTGGTTTAATTTAATAAAAAGTCAGAACCTTTTGCTATATGATTAATCATTGATTAATTGAAAAATTAATCTACAGATTTATCGATTTGCAAAATAATAATTTGTTGCAACCCTAATGTGATGAAATATTACTATTGAATATCTGGCCTGGTGCACAAGCTTCCCAGATTGAAAAGCCAATGAAAACAACACATTTTAAAGTGATTGTTCTCCTTTCCCAGATGAATAAATCTGGATTGGAGAGTGTCACATGCTGTTGTTTTAACTCAAAGTATTTAGTGAAAGATGTACTTATTTGGCCAAGACAGATTAAGAAGGGGCATCTTTTATATTCTGGTTGACTAAATCTCAGTTTACTAAACAGAGAATTACAAATGTCTGAAATGTTCCAGCAAAGCAAAGCAACATATCGATTGTGGGGAAACTAAAAGCTGTAAAGTCTAACCCCTTGTTGACTGAGTTGGGATGAAACAGGTTGTGGTTTGTGCTTGTGTTCAGGTCCCAGGAGCTCAGGACTTGGTCGATTTCTCCCCAGTCTACCGCTGCCTCCATATCTACACTGTGTTGGTGAGTCCTTCCTCTTTATGTCCTCGCTTCCTTCCTACAAGCAAAATAACAGCAAACTCATTTCCACCTCTGGTCATAATCCACCTCTGATCTCTGCCTGGCTCATGCACACCGCCGCTGGTTTAAACTGGCCGGTTAAAGGACCTGTTCTGCTGAAAAGTGCAGATGAAACTGAGTAGAATGCGTCTGATCAGTCTATGGCATTATCACACAGATTGAGTTGGACAATCATCCGCAGCGTTGCCTTCAGACTGCAGGAGGTTTGTGTGCTGAGGGGCTCCTCCTGCTGCTGCTGGTGTTCTCTGAGGCCTCCAGCTCAGGCCTGGCTTCGCTCCAACCTGGCTGCGTGTCTCTTCTCAGTCTGAGCGAAAGCGACGCGGGTGGAGGTGTTGAGTGGGCCACGGCGGGGTCAGCTGCACATTTCGGGCCCTGACTGAGTGTTTGTATGTTTGCCTGCAGGGGTTGTGACCGGGCCAGCTCGGCCACAGGGTCGGCATTTCTCTGCACTGTGAGATTGTCTGTGTGTGTCTTAAGGGGGGGGGGTTCAGCAACAGGAAGTGCATGAACTTTGACAGGAAGGAGAAAGCCAACAGACAGGAGAACGATGGAGGGAGGAAAGAAAAGCAGATGAGGATTAGAGAGGAAGAAGTGATGGAGGGAGTGTAGGAGGAAAAACACTGAGCCTATAAGGTTTAGACAGGTGATGGACAGGAGATGAATGTTTTGAAGCTGCTTTTTTTTTATAAACTCCACCTTTAAAAGGTATTTGCTCCTCAAACTGTTTCCATTTTATAAAGATTAGTCAGCTGATTATACGGCTTTCACAATGTATATGAAGAAATCTGAGCATTTTATGGCGTTTAAAGCAACTTCCTTCACTTTGACAACCCTAAATAAAATCTAGCGCAACCAGTCGCCTCAGAAGTCGGCTAATTAGCAGATAAAAGCAATCCTTGTTTGATCTAACCTCTGCGTGGATCCAGATGTTCTTTCAAGGCTTTAGAAGTTTTGCTGGAGAACATTAGGGAACAAAAAGCCTCACGAGGGCCAGAGAACACAGCAGAGACGGGTCAGGGAGACGGAGGAGTGTAATTAAAGATCCTAATCCGTTTATGTCCCACAGAGCTCAGCTCCGTTCATCATCTAATGATGGAACGAGTAGAAATGGACCTAAAACACGCCCAAACTGAATGACGTTACTCAAGTAGAGGAATTGGTCAAGAAAATTTTTTTGTTTGTGTAATAAATACATAATGAGACATCTCAGCCCTAATGATCCATCACCAGTCGTCAGGGACAGGAAAGCTGGTCAGAACTGATGGGAAGATGAATGGAGCTAAACACGGGAGTAAGTCAAAGAAAACCTGATCCTTCACAATGAGGAAAATGACATATAACATGCCAGAGACGGTAGGAAAGTTCTCTGCCTTCTGCTCCTCATGTTTTAGATGTGTCCTTTATTTAAATGATTGCACTGCCTCTTCAGGGTGCCTTCGAATGTAGAAGCCTGTTAATCAAACATTTATTGAGATCAGTTGTATTTGTTACAGGTGTAGGAGGAAGACAGTGGGTCCTGAAGAGCAGGTTGGAAAACAACTGGTTTAGATCAAAGCATTACACATTGATGTTTCCCTCCATTTTCTCTATTGTTAAACTAATGTTTAATTAAAGCTAGCCTAGTAAACCAGCCCCAAGCGGCCAAAATAATTTTTGCCTGCGAGTGGTCTAGCCTCAATCAATGCCCCAGGCTATAGAACTGGCTGGCCAATCACAACGCAGAGATGCGTTTTGAAAATTTTGGATGCAAAGCGGGCGGGATTTTGAGGGCGTGACGACAAAGCTGAACGACGCTGGAGAAAGCACAACAAGGAAGATGGCAACAACTATTGAACAGTTCTCGTTTGACTCAGCTTTGGAATCAGTTTAGGATTAGACTTCGTTGAAACATGAGCAGGAAGAGGCTCTACGTTCATTCATTTTTAAGAAGGACATATTTGCCGTTTCACCGACAGGCTGTTCGTTTACACTCCCCCACCAGCTTTCTGTCGCGCTTACTACGTCACAGTCAGCTGCCCTCATTGATCACAGCGTTGGCCAATAGGTGCAGACATGGTTTGAAAAACATCGGGTTGGTCTCATCAACAATCTTCCGATGTCTCATTCATCAGATCCAGACTAAATTACACATTTAATCTCACATTTAGTCTGGTTTATCAGGCAAGTAAAAAGCTGCAAAGCCTGGGAGAAATGGATGAGGAGCTCTTGTTGTGTACTGCTTAAAGGCTTATTTAGATATCTATGAGGAGCAGGGTTTGGTAGGAAGCATTTTAATGCTGGTTTAACACACTGAGAGGAAAGAATGCGAATAAAGAACAAATTAGAGGAGGATTTAATAATTGGGGCTGGGAGGGTAAGGGCTGCTGGAGGTGTAGCAGTAGAAAGGACAGGAGAGAGTGAAGCAGCTGAGGAGCGATAAGGAGGAGAGGGAAGGGGGGGACGTGGTCATGGGGAGGCCAAAAGGGCAAAAACAGGAAGGTGAGGTAGAAAACACAACACAGAAGGATTGAGATTAGAGAGAGGAGCTAGCTACTGTGGGAGAAGAACTGATGGAAGAGGAGGAGGAGGATGTTCTGCATGAGGAAGGTGTTGAAAGGATTGACCTGCTGACCCCTGAGGTCAGCTTCACCCGCTCTGTTAGCTCTGATGTTTCTGCTCACGTTGGAAAGGAACATATTCTGCAGCTCAGTTTCCAGCTTTTTAGATGGATGCCGTCTGAAAGCCTGGTTTAGGTTGAGAGCGAACTGCTCTCACATGCTCACAGCAGAACGCTTTCATTTGTTTTTCTAGGGAACCTGGATGAGGAATCTTCTTTCCTATCAGCCGGTTTTTCCCCTCTCTCTGTTCACCGTTTTTTCCGAGCCTCGAGTCCACGTTTTTCAACCAGTCGTTGAGCGGCGCTGAGGCCGAACAATACCCCTTTGTTACTCCCTCGCATGTAGTTCATGTGGCAATGTGGACCGAGTTATGATTGATGTAAACATAACCAAGCAGAGAGGAGGGGAGGCTGACAGCGAGTTCCTTTTTTTTTTTTTTTTCTTTCTTGAGAATCGGAGCTTAGACTTTCTTCTAAATGGATCCATTGGTTGGAATAAAGTGAAGGAAAATCAAGCACACACACACCGAGGCTTTACTGCCTTAAAAAGAAGGGAAAATGGTGCAGGTTGCTTTTTTATGATTCTCCAGTGTGGAAATGTTCTAAAGAAAGGAAAATGTAGAAGGAGCAAAATAGGACTTTCTTCTTCTCCAAGTCAACCATCCATCCACAAACTAATCCTCATTTGTTTCCTTGGCCTGCTTACTACCAGACTTGTAAAATCAAGATATTTATAAAGAAAGGACCCGTTTAACGAGATGAAGGAGGCAAAAGATCTTGAAAGGCAACATATTCTGCCCTGTTCAAACTAACTCGGTCTGGAAATTATTAATTGTTATGCAAAAATTAGGGGAAACATGGCGAAAAAAAGAAAAAAAAGTGGTTCATCACACAAAAAAGTCACTGAAATGCGTCAAAGACTCGTCTTGGTTATAAAAACCATGTATTTTTCCTCCCACACTGTTTACATTTGATCACTGCTGCACTTCAAGAAATGGAAATCTCATTGGAGCTGTAAATCGAAATGTATACACTTATTTATGACAATAAAAGTTGTCCGATTCTAAGTCTAAACAACCTGAACTAAACCCTAAATCATTATCCTGGCCTGAGTAGGGCTTTTATTCATTATTCTTGCAACTTTTTTTAAATTAAACTTCTTTAAATGCATAATTGAGAATTGTAGATATAGTTTATAATTTCAGGGTTGAATTCCTGGCTGATCAGGTGTTTACCCACTTGGACCAATAAAAAAAAATTAAAAAAAGTGTTTGTTTTTGTCTCTGCATATCTTCTCACCCCCTTTGTTTCTGCGGCGGTACAAAGGTCACAGCATAATCGCATCATCCCAGGCCTGGACTTCACCCTGCCCAAGTTCCCCTCTCTGGGATCTCAGGGCCGTAAAACGAAGAGTTCACGGCCGGTTGCTGCCGCTGGCTCCATGAATGCTCATTGTTCAGCTACGGGTCAAACTGGGAATTGAAGAATTAGAGCAACTTTTTTCACCGAACAACATCAAACTAAACAGAGTTCAAAGATGTAATCTAGGACTCCTACAATGCCTACAATGATTTTCTTGTGAAAATGCTTTTTCTTTGTATCTTTTTGTTTTCGGCTGACATCCATCAGCCAAGATTTTCTATTGAAGAAACAAAAAAACAAAAACAAATGTTGCTTACTTCAACTGGAAACTATATAAAGTGTTAATTTCCCCCCAAAATCAGAGCGAAATGAAAATGTTTCCTTATGCACAGAAGCAATGTCATGCTCTTCTTTTAAGCCCCATTTATAAAACATGTTTATTACTTTTCATTTTAATCAACATTTCAATTATTTAAATTAAAAATATCAAAAAAGTACTTGTTTAATAAAATACAATGTATAGAATATTTTTAAGTCTTGACTCTTCATAAATATCACCTGCATATTAATTTCTTAAAAAACACAATGTCTAAATGATCTGAAGCTGAGCCTGTTCGATAGTACTTTTGCCGATAATTTCTAGGAGCCGTGTTATTAGATATGCTTAAATTCGACATAATATCGGTACATTTGATTTCCTACATGTAAACAAACCCTTAAGTCTACAATTTTGCTGTACATATTAAGGAATAAAATGCATCCCATTAGTAGTAAAAAAATATTCGAGTTCAGTCTCAGGTAGTTAATTGAATCTAAAGCCAATTAGCTTTTTATCAAGACAGGTGTACGCTTTGTTGGAATACCATCTGCTGCATTAAGTACAAATAATTGTGCTTATTGTGAAAAGTACTGGATTTTTTGTCTTTCTTCCCTTTATAGAGTTACATGCAAAGCTAAATTGGACCTGAGGGGCACTAGATAGTAACGCCTTGATGCTAGCATACAGAGTTGTTAATTGCCTGCTTTTTTCTGGTTTCTGAGGTGTGTTTTGGTGTATGATGGAAATTCTCGCAGCTGCCTTAAACATTTGGCTTCAATGACTTGGGCAGCCTAAATATAGACATTATAATTGCGGTAACTCTTACTAATACAGTACGTCATTAACCATGTAATAACCTGGTAATAACAGAGAAAGTTACACTATATTACCAGGTAACAAGAAAACTTTATGGAGAATTGTACTAAGTGCTGTGCTTCAAATTTTAGGCGGACAAGGTAAAGTCAGACTTCTTAGATTTCAAGATTCATATTAATTTCACAGACAGCAATAAATGAATGTGTTATCTGTTAAAATGCAGTTTTTTACTTTGTATTTAACAGAAAACCAAACCTACAGGAAGCCAATCTTCTTAAATAAACTCTTATTTATATGTAACTTGAGTTCAGTTTTCTATTGGTAGGTGGTGGCCAATAATAGAAAATGTTACCTGGTAACCTAATGGTAATTAAGACATTTCATAATCACATGCAAGTTATTATTTTGAAATCATATACCTTAATCTTGGGTTAATCACCCCAAAAAAGTTTTTCTTGTTACCAAGTGCTATAGTGCGATTTGCTATGTTATTACCATGTTATTACATGGTTATTGGTGTACTGTTTAAAGAAGGCGTTACCATAATTACCAATCTGAATAAAACGCATAATTCCAAACAAATGCACGTTTTTGCATAAATCAATTTAAAGATGATAAAACTTTGGGTTTATTACAAAAATAAATCTATGTATTTGACTATGCGGACTGGAGGAATTGGGGCAGAAACTGTCATGTAGACATTAGTGAATAACCCAATGTGCTCATTTGTTTTCTCCCCGACTTCTATCGCAATGAAAACAGCTGCTGGTCAACACAGCAGAGTAAAGTATGCGAGTTTATCCGTGGTGGTCTGGTCAGTTGCTGAGGGGTTCTGGTTTAACGCTTTTATCTCTGACCTCAGCGGTGACTGTGGGCCTGGGTTCAGACCTCAAACAGACTCTAATACAGCCCAGAGAGAGATAAGAGATAAAGAGCTTCTGTGTAATGGAAAAGAGAGGGTGGTTTGAAGGCCGTCCAATGGAGTCGGCTAAAACTGAATCCGCCACACAGAGGACAGTTGAACTTGTATTAATGACCTGGTAGAGAAAACGTTGAACCCTGTCAAGCATAAACACCAATCATACCCCAAAGTTTTTTTTTTATTTTTTCATTTTGTTTATTTAAGTCGGAAATTAGATTTTGGTGTAAAAGTTTGCAAACTTATACTCTTGCTTTTTTCTGTATTTCCACCTTTTTTATTTTGTTATTTCTTTTTTTTTTAAACCCTGGTTTTATGTTTTAGGGTTTACGTGATGTGTTTGAGAACTACTACAGGAAGCAGAGGAGGAAACAGGCTCGCCTTGTGCTGCAGCCCCACTCTAACATGGTATGAACTTGCACTGTCACTGTTGCTAAGGAGGCACTTTGTTATCCGCACACATCTAACTGAATCCTTCGCACACCTCTCCGGTACACACACCCCTCAACCTGACTCACTGATCCTGCTAGTAAGCACATTAACAAATGTCAAAAAGTTGGACATTTGTATAAATAAAACAAAGGAAAAGACTGCTACATTTAACCAATATTTGCTGTATTAAATTAACAATAATAGGAGTATATAAAGCTTTTTATATTACTTTTGGCATATTTAAATTGGGCTGAGATTGGGGCCAGAATAAATCAGAAGTCGTAAATCAGATATTTTTACTGTTGGAGATTTGCTTGGACACTCATCACTGTTCAATATTTAGCATTTAATACTCAGCGTATCAGTTTAAAGAGAATTTGTGATATAAGCTAGTTAAAGATCAACTTAATGGTTAACTGGAGGTAAGTTGATGTCTATCAACGACTTAAATAGTTGGCTAATCTGGATTAAAGCTAATGGCCATGTAAAGCTAATTACAGCTAAGCTAAAAGCTACAAAGGATGAACTGCTAAACTAACAGAATTAAACATAACAGCTAACAGGTGTCAGTTTAACAGCCACTAACAGTCAAGCTAATCACTACTCTTGGTAAAAGCAACAGCAAAGTAGAGTTGGGGTAAAAGCTATTCAGCTATTCAGTCAGGTTGACAGCCATGTCACACTCCGTTCCGTCCCGGAAGCACGATCCGTTCCACGCATGCGGCATTCGTTAAACTGCTTCTTTGACGTCATCATCAGATATACTCAGAGCAGTCCGGCAACATATGATTAAACCATGTTTAAAAGCTTTTTAGTTGTTTCTTTCTTTATATTACACACTTTATAGTTTAAGGTTAAAACAAAATGAAAACATAAAACTTAAAAACACTAGTATTATGTTTAAATCCAAAGCCGAAAAAGCTGGCTCCCGGAAGTAGCGTAGGATCGCATTTCCGGTGCAGATCGGGCAGACGCAACTGATAAAAACGATTTTAAGGCATTTATTTCCTCAAGAAATACATTATTATTACATTATTAAAAGGAAAACGTCATTTAGCTTTTTTTTAACAAAATAAAATCAAGGATGACCCGGATGTTTATCTGGATGGCACATGAGCAGAACGGATTGTGCTTCCGGGACGGATTGGGTAGTGACAGGCTACATGGGGTAAACGTTAGCAGGTTTTGTGATAAGGCTAACTACTAGCTAAAGTTGGTGTTACAAATGGTTGGGCTAGAAGCTATTAGCAGTCGAATAAGTGAACAGCTAACTGGAGAACGAGAATGTGGCAAATATAAATTAATCCCTATTGTATTAGCAATGTTGCTAGCAGCTATTCTTTGTCAAGTCTATGGTTATTTTGAAAGTCAAAAGTCAAGCTAAGGGGTAACATGTTTCACCAAAAGTAAAATGGAGAACATTTAATGGGCGGGAGTTAAGTAAACTAACAGAAATCTGTCTAAGCCTTCATTCAAACAGACTGTGCTTTTTCCTGTCTGTTGCAAATAGACACCATCTAAATGTTGGACTAATTCCCACTGGCAGCATGGTGCTGCTGCATGACGGACAGCCCAATGTGAAATGTGAACTGATTGGATGGAGCAAAATCCTTGCATTTCTAAATACTGGATCAGTCAGACAGGAAGTCAGAAGCAGGAAGAGTAAATCAGATCCAGGAAATTTTCAAAATAAAAGGGGAGGCTATTTGGTTGGATGAGCTGATTCTAAAAAAAAAAAATAAAAATAAAAAATCCCATGATATTTCTAAAGTTGATGTCCTTTTACAGCAATTTTGTGTAAGCCAGCAGTTTATCATGTAAAAAATCTTTGGAAATCCTTGGTGCAGTTTACTGCCACTTCCTGAGTGGTTAGAGTTGCCCCTATTTAAAATATCTTTTAAAATATACTTGATTGAAAGATATTTGAATTATATGCTGAGGAAAAGCGCTGATCCAAGTTGGTCCAGGCTCCCAAAAGCAGGGGAATATTCTCTGACCTCACTGCTAACTCAGAAGGCCAGCTTCGGGATCATGTTGATTAGCGATTAGGGGGCTATACAGACCATACAACCCAGCTTGGTATATTTTTTGTTGGGGAATGGAAATAAAATTGGCCAGACAACAAATTTAGCATGCCTGGTTTGGAAAAGTCCATAATTTTAAAACAAAACTTGTGGGAGCCCCGTTTAGTGCTGTCACAGAAACATTGAAGTTTCCAGAATAAAGGTATTTGCACTATTTTTATTTTTTTTTTAAGTTTTACAGTACAGCACAGTATAAGACATCATAAACATGCTTTCTTCTTGCAATTTGCACTCTGCGAAGATGTTTTAAGCAGATTTTGGATCGTTCCTGGTCAACGCTTTTATTTTGGTCATTTTCATTTTTGTTGTAATTGTCCTCTCCTCTCCCGCCATCTTCTGTTTCCTTTTTTTCTACCCTTCTCTAGCATGAAACCCTGGAGGGATACAGACGGTACTTCAATCAGATTGTTGGGTAAGTCCACTCTTTATCAGTAAGCTCTGCCGTTTTTATCACTTCCTTAAATAAACTATTATAAATGTAGAGCTTGAAGTACTCAACATGTCCAAGTGACATGGCATTTTAAAGTTCCTGATATCATCTAGATATACATTCAGCCAGAACTGGTATCCTGTGTGCGTTGTCACCATTTTCATGACATTTAGGAGTAGGAAGCCTTTTATTCAAATATCAGTTATACGTTTGACATCTTTTCTGCTTATTAGCATGCTGAAAATGTCCTCGATTCGATCTAAATCTTGGCTGATCGGAAATTCAAAATCCCTTATTTACAACGACACTAAATAAAATGATCCAATTATGACGTGTGTGTAAGTGTACAAAGGTTTCGATCGGTTTAAATCATTTGAGGATGCGTAGAACTGTCTTATTTCAATGAAACGCTTTAGTAGGAGTAGAAGAAGCTGCCTTTTGTAAACAAACCCGTACCCTATCTGTCTGCTCGTCTATAACTTCAGCTATTCTTTGTACCTGCCCCTCCACGTCTTTTTCTTCACTTCTTCAGTCGGGTCTGTTGATGTTGTTTTATCAATACTTTTCTGTTCATAGCCTTACCCATTTTCTCCACTCCCTACCTTTTATTTATGCTTTTCTCCTCCTACAATAAATATGTGTAAGGGATTAATAAATATGAGTAAATAAGGGATGCTCAGACTCTCTAGGCCTCAGCTGATGTGTTGAATGTTTAAGTTTATCACAGGAGTAAAAACTTCTCTCTGTTGAACAAAAACAGCAGTATGAGTGTTGCTTTTTGAGATTCCCAATGAATTAACCTATAGAACGATGTCCTTTGAACAAAATAGGCTAAAGCAGATCGGCACATGAAGCGCCCGGTGATTTGAGGTTCGTTTTTTCTCTTCTGAGTTGAGTGGGAGGTAATGTGCTAAGGCTAATTTATAATCTACAAGTGAGAGATCAAGATACTGTAATAAATCCTCTGGAAATATCTGAGGTTTAGTACTGTTAAGTTTTCCAAAGTTTCTACCAAAATCTAAATGTTAGAAAATGTTTGAAATCAGTCAAAAAGTGGGCATCTACTTGCAGCAGTGTGTAATGTGCAGAGAGAACTAGCCATGGACCTCACTGCAGCTCTTTGTGGTCTGGCAAGTCTGAGCGGGCACCGCTTTGATTGAGACGTTCTGTCAGCGGACAGAAACCAAAATCACTTTGCGGACGATTTGATCCGTTCGGTCAGGCATCATGTCAGGAAAATACCGCAGTGTGTGATCGACGAGTGTGACACTTGGACGGCGGAGGCTTTAGACGCCTGGCGGGATGGAGGAACTGTTTGCTCCGAGTCATCTCTGCTGCTGCTGTGGAAATGTACAAAAGCTGCATGAGTGTCATTGAAAGTCATTGGTAGTTTCTATAGCAGCTTTTTGTCCCTTCATCATTCCTTATTTCATTCTTCATTAAGTCTTGGTGTTTCTCTCCTTCTGTCCAGCTTCTTTGTTGTCGAGGATCACGTCCTTCACACCACGCAGGGATTGGTGAACAGAGCCTACGTGGAGGAGCTTTGGGAGTTGGCCTTGTCCAAAATTGTTGCTGCCCTGAGGACGCACTCTGTAAGATGTTCTAAAATACCTATCATCAATCATCCAACTCCTTTTCACCGATTATCCCCACTGTTTACTCTAAGGTGGTGATAACCAAAGTTGATTGTGCTGTCAGCTTAGACCAGGGGTCACCAACCTTTTTAAGAGCTACTTCATGAGTACTGAGTCATAGGAAGAACTACCAATAATGACCCATGAACTGGAGGGATCAGCATTCACCTTAACTTTATACTAATAAACATATTTTTATGGGATGGAGGAAAGGAAGGAAAGGAGGAGGAGGAAGGAATGAAGGAAGGAATGAAGGGGAGGAGGAGGAAAGGAGGA